TCTGTGGTCATCTCCTGGGCCCTGATGTACTGCCGGGGGCTCTTGTCCTCAGCCCTGCTCCTCTCTCTGCCTACACGCCCCGGGGCGAGCAGCTCTTGCAGCCCCGTGGGCATACACACCCCATGTGCTGATCCCAGCCAAGCCACCACTCAGCTCCAGGTTCTGCAGCCCATGTGGCTCTCCATGGGTATCTAGTAGTGTTTCAGATTCAACTTGGCCAATGTGTCCACCCCCCGCCCCCCTGTGGCAGCTCTGACCCCGGGGCGAGCAGCTCTTGCAGCCCCGTGGGCATACACACCCCATGTGCTGATCCCAGCCAAGCCACCGCTCAGCTCCAGGTTCTGCAGCCCATGTGGCTCTCCATGGGTATCCAGTAGTGTTTCAGATTCAACTTGGCCAATGTGTCCACCCCCCGCCCCCCTGTGGCAGCTCTGTCCTTCCATCGTTCTAGACACTGAGGCCAGAGCCTGGGCTTCTCATGGCCCCTCTCCGACTCAGCCTCCACGTCTTGTTCCTCGGTACAGGCTGGGGCTCCACCTTCAGCGGTCTGGGCTGAGAGATCCCCCCCACCCACACTCAGCCTCTGAGTGTGGTGGGCATGACACTCCTGCAGGTCTTTCGCGCACTGTCCTGTGGAGCTCCTGCGACCGGGGCCCTGCTTCTTGGCCTCCCCACTGGCATGTGGGTCTCTGTGAGTGTCAGTTTTCATTTCAATTGGCTAAATGCCCGGGAGTGGGACTCTTGGGTCCTGTGGTAGGTGTAGGTTCAAGTTGCCAAGAACCCACCCAACTGTCTTCCCACGTGGTTGTACCCGCACCTCATCCCAGCAGCACGTCAGGCGCCAGTGGCCCCGTGCGTTTGCCGGCTGGTGGTGTGGTCAGCATCGTGTCGTGTATGTTTATTGTAGCCATTCTGACAGGGCGCAGGAGCTTTAAACTCTCGTTGGAGTTGTAGTTTGCACTCTGTGGGCCGGTGGTGATGGGCATCCTGCCCATGTACTCATTTGATGCCAGTGTTTCTTCTTCAGACTGTTTGCCCACTTTTTAATTGAGTGGCTTCTTTTCTTCTGGAGACTTGAGAGCTCTTCGTATGTTCTGAATATAATCTCACTTAGTGTATTTGCAGATATTTTCTCCCAGTCTGGCTGGTCTTTTCATTTTCTTAACAGATTCTTTCAAAGAACAGGTATTCTTTATTTTTAAATTCAGTTTATCAAGTTTTCCTTCTATGGACTGTGCTTTTGCTGTATTAGCTAAGAAATTTTTGCCTAGCTCAATATTGCAAAGAGTGTCTTCAGGTTTTTTTCTTGTAGAAGTTTTACAGTTTTAGATTTTACATTAAAACCTATAATCCACTCTGAGTTATTTGCTGAATAGTGCTCTTATCTGCCAAAGTTTCTTGTCTTATTCATAAATATTCACCTTTTTTATACCGTCACACACATTCACTCCCATCCCGAGGACCTCACGTCTTATCAAAGCAGATCATCTGGCTGAGAGTCACAGTCTCTTGACATGTGTGAGTTGTGGCACCTTGTGACTGGGAGACCTAAGACACAGGAAAGACAAGTTACCTGCCCCGTGACCCTACATACTGTGGTAGGGCAGGGACGAGGTCACTGCCTGAACATGCCCATTTGTGAAGGGAAGGAAAGGAGCCCTGACAGTTGCTGGTCTGTGGCGCTCTGAAGTCCTGTGGAGCAGGTGTCATCAGGCCACCCCTGGGTAGAGAAGGTGCCTTGAGCAGGTCCCGGCTCCCCTGGGAGGGGCTTGTGTTCCCCACTGTGCTCTGTGGCTCCTTGCTCTGTGCCGGGACCCGTCCCTCTTCCCCCTCCTCCTCAGCTACTTTCGGGCAGGGTGCTGGGGATGTGCCATTCTTGGGCTGTGCGCCTTCTCGCTGTGTCCGCGAGTGTCTGGGTTACATGCCCTCGAGTATGGTACCACGTTCTTTATCTTGGAGCCATGTGGTTCCGTGAGGGACCGGGAAACATGTGCGGCTCCGGCCCCAGGAGTGCTGCATGGAAGAGCTTGGGGCCTCAGTTCAGTGAGCCCTCGTGTCCTCTGATAGTTGATGTCTTGTTTTTCTGAACTTGGCTTTATTTCAGGCAAAGTTGGCAAAGAATTATGGCATGACCCGCATGGACCCCTACTGCCGCCTGCGCCTGGGCTACGCAGTGTACGAGACGCCCACGGCTCACAACGGCGCCAAGAACCCGCGCTGGAATAAGGTCATCCACTGCACGGTGCCCCCGGGTGTGGACTCGTTCTATCTCGAGATCTTTGACGAGGTGAGGCCACTGCTGGTGGCTGCACTCCCTCCCCAGCCTGCCTGTGCTCTTGGTGTTTTACTGGAGTGTAATGGGGCGCTGTTCTCCCTGCGAATCTGGAAAATTATGTCGTTTTCAGCTTCTTTAACAGCCTTACACTGGAAACATCATCACCAGGGACACAGTTGCTGGATTCTGTAGGCACAGAGTGGACATTGTTTCCCACCAGGTGCCTCGAAGTAGCTGGTGCTCACAAGTGGGTGGGTTTTGAGTGAGTCAGACGCTTTGCTGGGTGGGATATTGTTCTTAGAGTCACAGCGACCACGCGTAGCATCCTTCGTGTATGTTGAGTCCTGCCAGCGGTCATGCTTTGCAGGGATGCAGTGAGGCTGCTGCTGGGCATGGTCCCGCTGGGCACCTTGGAGCTGTGGCGGCCTGAGCCTCCTGAGGCCGGAGCTCCGCAGCAGCAGGAGGGCCGAGGACAGCCAGAACACTGTACATGCCTCCCCTGCCTGCTCTGTCCCTCTGCCTTCTCTGGTTTGTCCTCTTCTCACCCTTCCTCTCCCTTCCCTCCTGTGGCCCTCGGAAGAGTAAGGAGTGGGTAGAAATTGAGGTGCGGGGGCCGCAGTTGGCAGCGCTCTCCTCTCCCAGTCTTGCACTCATCATGCTTTGGGGCTTTTGGGGGTGGGTAGAGCAGGGAAGGCCCACGAGGGTGGGGGAGGAGCAGTGGGGGCCCTGGGCTGGGACAGGAAGACAGCGGCCCTGGGAACTCTACCTTTTCTGTCCTCGTGTGGTGACTCAGCAGCAGGTGGAGAGCGGAGGGGGGTCCTGAGGCCGTGTGTAACAATACACCCCAGGTATCTGGGGCCTGGTTTTCACAGGAGCATCTCCTGCAGGGCTGGGGGCTGGCGCAGGTGAGCCCTCCCTGACGGGAGAGGGGGAGATGCGAGGGGGTGGTCCTTGCTGAAGGGGCAGCAGCAGGAGGAAAGGGGCCGTTGTGGATCGCACGGGCGCTCACCTCCCTCTTGCTACCGCAGCGAGCCTTCTCCATGGACGACCGCATCGCCTGGACCCACATCACGATCTCTGAGTCACTGCGACAGGGCGAGGTGGAGGACAAGTGGTACAGCCTGAGCGGCAGGCAGGGCGACGACAAGGAAGGCATGATCAACCTGGTCATGTCGTTTGCGGTGAGGCCCCCGCCCTGCCCCAACTGACGCTCGCTCCCCACCCTCCCAGGAGTCCCTGGCGATCTTTCAGTGCAGCAGAACCGTCCTATCCCTGAGGACCTAAGACCTTAAACCAGTAGAGCTCAGTGATGCTGGAACCTGGAGGTGGTTGTGGGGGGCAGTGGCAAGAGGAGCCCCTGCCCTGTCCCTGCCCTGCCTGTGCTCGATTGGAGGAGCAGTGGCATGTGTTGTCATTCTGTAAGACTGGCCTCCAACTGCATGTAGCTGAGTCCTCGGGAGCTCTCCCACTGTCCTGCCAAGCCCTACCCTTAGGGTCGAGCGGTGTGAATCCCTACCCCAGCCACCCTGCCGGGCCTAAGATGCCAGCAGCGGCCAGCCTGTGCCTAGTGCCCCGCCTTGGGCTCTGCCAGACAGGCTCTTCCCACAAGGCAGTCACTGGCTGTGAAGCGGTGAAGTTTCTCTGTGGGACCTCAGGGGCGGGCAGCTCAGGAAGTGGCCACTGATCTCTGGGTCACAGAGCAGAGGCCTGGCCATGCCGGGCAGTGGGGCTGATGTGTTGGGCGCCCCAGGTTTTGTCCGTCTCCGTTCTTGGGTCCCCGCAGCTGTCAGGACCCTTGGGAAGTCAGGGAAGGCAGGACTAGGGCATCTGGGGTCCCGGCTCCTGCCACTGCCTTTCTATCACCCGGGTATTTTTTTGTTGTTATTTTAACTTTTTAACTGTAGGAAATTCCAAGCACGTGTGGAAGTGGAGACATGCGTGTCATGCACCTGTGTGTGCTGGTGACCCACCAGACCTTTTTGCGAATCCTGTTTCATCCTTCTCCCTTTGCTTAATGCTGTAATATTTTAAAGCAAGTCACCGATGTCAATGTGATTAGTCGTCAATTTTTTATTATGCATCTTTAACAAACATCTTTATATAAACACAAAACCATTATTATACTTAACTAAATTTCTCTGCAAGTAAGATTTTTTGAATTAAAATATTAGATTATCATGAGATGACATGGATGGGAGTCAGTGTGATTTTCTGACGAAACAGACCCTGAAATTTCTTCTTCTTTTTTTTTTTTTTTGTCTTTTTCCTGATCGGTAAAGGGATAGCAACCCTCGGCTTGGTGTCGTCCGCACCGCGCTCAGCCAGTGAGCGCACTGGCCAGTCCTATATAGGATCCGAACCCGTGGCGGGAGCGTTGCTGCGCTCCCAGCGCCGCACTCTCCCGAGTGTGCCACAGGGCCGGCCCTGAAATTTATTCTTAAATGTACTTTGTTAAACCAGGTTCTCTTTTGATCACATTTCAGCTAGCCATGGTCTTATGAGTCGAACAACAACAACTCATTGGACCTCTGATCCTCCAGCTGCACTAGGGCATTGGTATGGGTGGGCACAATGGCAGAGTGGCCATGGCGTCTGTGCCGCAGACTCTGCGTTGTTGGGTTTCACGTCTGGGCTCAAGGCCAGGGTGGTTATGGTGAGACTGGAAATAAGTAGGTTTTGATATGTGGTGTGTTCTTCTGTGACCCCGTGATCGTCTTTGGTGTGTTTCAGTCACTGCCAGCTGCCATGGTGATGCCACCCCAGCCCGTGGTCCTGATGCCAACCGTGTACCAGCAGGGCGTTGGCTATGTGCCCATCACAGGTGTGTAGCACTCCGTCGGTCCCTGTGGTCTTTTCCTCTGGTAGCATCAGAAAGCCCAGGAGGCAGAGAGCAGAAGTGGAGGAGGGAGATGGACTTGGAGTGCTGGTGTAGGGATTCAGTCTAGTGGAGAACGACGTAACACATGCCAGCTGTCCGTGACGGTCTTCTCCAATCTTTCATGTACACATAGAAAACAGAATTTGTTTTTTCCCTAATTATTGTCACAGATATGGTGAGTTGAAATTTTCAGAGCTGTAAAAATGTAATTTCTAAACATTCAGTGTATGAGTTACTATGATAGAAGATCATGTTCCTGTGGGTGAAGCCAGCTGTGTGCTTTTGGCGTTGTTGTTCTGTCATGTTTATTTACCTTTGCACGTTATTTGCCTTTGCAAGTTAGCAGTCGGTGGCAGCACATCGAGATCAAGCTGGAATGTAGCTTTTTATGCCTTTGCATTTTCAAATTAACCTCTTGGTCGACTTGCCCTAGTGGCTGTGACAGCAGTGGCTGCTTGACTAGCTTCCCATCACAAACTGCTATAAAACTGGGCAGAACAGACGTGGCCGCAGCTGTTCTCAAGCTTTGGCCAGCAGGCAGCAAAAGACTGTGGCCCCAGGAAGAGACACTGGGTGGGAGTAAGCCACGGTCACTCCGGTCCTCTCCCTGAGACAGAGTCTGCCACGGTCCAGGGAGCTGGAGTCTGGCAGAGTGTGGTGGTCCCATGGTACCACAGGGGGCGAGGGCCAGAGTCCAGGGCATTGGCAGTGGCCAAATAGTGGGGCAGGGCACTGGGGAGCAGGGAGATGTGTGGCCATTGGGGAGGGTCTCGGGATCCACTGGGGCCCTGACTGCTTAGGCTCAGGGTTGCTTGGGGGTTGGGCAGGACACAGACGGAGTGGCTGAGCAGCATGGGGTCAGCCAGAGTGTGCAGGCCTCATCAGCATCCTAGTTATGCTGGTGTCCAGCTGAGGCCTGGAAAGGCTGTCTCAGGAGTCAGGACCTTGCCCTGGACCTGCCCTCACAGCCTGAAACCTGCCCTGGCAAGGGCGGGTGGGAGGGGAGCTTGAGAAATTCCAGGCTGAGCGCAAGCCCGTGTGCTCAGGGGGTTCTGCCTGCGATGAGGCACCCTGTGAGCACAGGCAGCACCTTCTGAAGCAGAGAGTGGAATTGGGGTCTATGGCAGCCCTCCTTAGTGTCTGGGGTGTGCTAGGAAATGTGTAGACCAGCGGGAGACAGGATCGTGCAGCCCATTGCCAAGGAAGAACCAGTTAATAGAAAGTGACCCAAGATGACCCAGAGACCTCAGAGCCATTGTAATGTGTTGGAAGAGTTAAAGGAGATTACATCGATAAGTGAAAAGAAAGTCTCAGCAGAGAAGTGGGAACTACTGAAAGAACCAAGTGGAAATTCTTTTTTTTTTTTTTTCCTTTTTGTCTTTTTTCGTGTCCGGCAACGGATCGCAACCCTCAGTGTCGCGCCCGTACCGGACCGGGACTGGCAATGGGATCGCAACCCTTGGTGTTGCGCCTGCACCTCGCTCAGCCAGTGAGCGGGAAACGGTCTGTATGTGGGATCCGAACCCTCGGCGGGAGCGCACTGTAGCAGTGCGCCACCGGGCCAGCCTGCAAGTGGAAATTCTAGAATGGTGAAGGACAGTGGATCAGGGCATCCCACCTCCCACTGGAGCCGGCCCCGAGGTGCCGCAGGGCTCTGTCGTTCATGGGGTTTGTATGAGGTTTTGCCATCTAGTTACCCCGAGCAGGGAGGAGCAGCAGCCTGTAGCGAATGCCTAAGGTGGTTAGTGTCCCAGGGCTGCGATAACAAAGGACTGCAGATGGGATGACTTAAAACAACAGAGATTTATTCTTCCGTGGTTCTGGAGGCCAGAGGTCCAAATCAAGGTGTGGCAGGGCTGTGCTTCCTCTGTAGGTTCTGAGGGAGGATCCCTCCTGTCTCTTCCAGCCTCGGGGGGCTCCAGATGTCCCTTGGCTTGTGGCCACATCACTCCAGTCTCTGCCTCTGTCCTCATGTGGCTTCTTCTGTCTGTGCCACTCTCCTCATTTTATAAGGATGCCTGTCATTAGATTTAGGGCCCACCCTACTCCGGTATGACCTCATCTTAACTTCGTTACATTTGCGAAGACCCTAGTTCCAATTAAGGTCACATTTGCAGGGACCGGGGGTTAGGACTTAAGCATATCCTTTTTGGGGGATACAATTCCATCCACTCCAGTTACCAACACCAGAATGTACTCGTTTGGAAAGTCACCTTTCACATAGGATAAAATTTATTGACTTGTTTCTTTCTGGTTCCTATCCTTAATTCTCTATGTAAATGCATTTATAGATTGCTTTAAAATGTTTATTTTAGGAAAGGCTAGATTTCTTTATAACAGAAACTGAACTTTTGATGTACGTTTTTGAATTTCGAAATGGTCTCATGCTTAGAGAAAAGTTACAAAGGAGGTAGAAGAAAGTTTTGCTGGGACCTTTGGGGACTCTCCCCCTGACGCCCATCCTGCCCCCACTGAGATGTTCCTTTCTGTGGGCAGGAAGTCCCCGCTGGCAGTGGAGGCAGGTGTGGGGTGCCATCTGCTGCTCAGACCCCGCGTCTGCAGAGTGAGTGTCTAGGCCGTGGTTGCTCACTGCCATTAGCGGCCATGTCACCCTCAGCCTGGAGCAGGTCCCCATCTTGCTCTTGTGGACAGCAGGCCAGGGATCTGGTAGGGTCTGCCGAGAGGGGGTGGGGTCTCCCCAGGGCCTCCTGGCAGGGCCTCTGTGGTCTCATCTGTCCCAAAGCTGGTGCCACGCGTTCACCCCATCATGAAAATTGGGTCTGCCCAGTTTCTCCACTGGGAAGCTGCTTGATTTTTTTTCTTCGTTTCTCTTTTTTTATTTTTGGTGGCCTGCTGGAAGGGGATCTGAACCTTTGACCTCGGGGTTATGAAGCTAAGCTCCCACCTACTGCGCTAACCAGCCAGCCCAGCTACTGGTTATTTCTTTGTAACTACTAACTATTAGTGTTTTGTGTAAGAGGTGCTGTGAGACCATGTAAACACCCTGTGCCTCTCAGACTCTGAGTTTATTCACTACTACTGTGGCCGTGTGGACTCGAGCTTCCGGTTTTGTCCCGTGGGTTGTCATTTGTTACTAACGTGATTTTGAAGAGAGCCCCTTCACTCTGGGTTCTCTGTCTGTGGCCAGGTCCCCACGTTCTGTGGGTGCTTCTTGGCACTGTGAGAAACCGTGGGCTCCTTCTGTGTACTTGCCGTCTCTGCCCCAGGCCCTGTTAGTGGGGAGTCGCTTTTAGAAGCCTTGGAACTTGTAAAATTTATCTTAATAGTGTTTGTTTGGAGTGTTGTTAGAGCACCCTCCTTCAGTGGAAGTTGATACCCTAATTTTCCTTGGAGTAACATAATTCCTGGATATTTGTGATAGCCCCACCATCCTTCCAGAAACACCTGACCCATGCACATGTGTTGAATGAGGAGAGGGGGCAGTGGGTCTGACCCTGGGGGAGCCTTTCGGCCACTCTCTTTCCGGGGCTTTTAGAATGTTTCTGAGGCTGAAATGACTCCCGAGAATCAGCATGCACATGTGTTGAATGAGGAGAGGGGGCAGTGGGTCTGACCCTGGGGGAGCCTTTCAGCCACTCTCTTTCCGGGGCTTTTAGAATGTTTCTGAGGCTGAAATGACTCCCGAGAATCAGCAGTGAAGATGGTCACCACGAGATAGCAGAAGGTGCAAAGATGGAAGGCCAGCACCCAGCCTTATGCTGTCCATTTTGGGGAAAAATTGCCCTTGTTTAATTTTTGTGATACTTTGCCTTGCTATTAAACTTCCTCTGCTGTGTAGCGTGGAGAAAGTTGGTTTGGAAAGTTTAGTCTCCAGCGCCCACCAGTGTGGCCTTTGGTAGCAGAGGCTCATGTATGCTCGCTGGTGAGAGGGCCTCCGTCTGTCCCCTCGTGTGTCTACTTCTCGCAGGTCTGGAGCGCTTTGCTCTGGGTTAGTGGACAGATCTGCATCCCACCCTCACCTGCCCCGAGGCTCCGTCCTCCCATCCTGCTGCAACACCCCCACGGCACGACCCCCTTTGGTTTCTCTGCAGTTGACCAGAGACAGTGACGTGGCTGCTGTTCAATAAAGTGTAAGGGCGAAGCTAGCACGCGTCCTTGACCCTCCTGTCTGTGCTGTGAGCAGGACAAGTGAGGGAGGGCATCTAGAATTCCAGGAAAGGCCAGCCAAGGCCTACACGGAAGGCGCTCACCGTTTCCCCCACGAGGGGGATGAACAGCCAACACCGAACCCGAAGCTAAGTGGCACATGCTCTTGAAGGTATTTAAATCAGCGAGAACTGTGTTTTTATTAATTTCCCAAACTGTTCCCTAGGATTCTCTCCCTGTTTGCTCTTAGCTCATCCACCAACTTGAAAGTTCGAGATGTAACTCCACAGTTACGTCGGTTTTCTTCTTTCTGGTGTGCTCCGTCGGGTTAGGAACGTTCACATGGCCAGGCCTTCTCCTAGCTGGAGGGTCACCCGTCGTTTGTTTCTGGGGATTCAGTCTGTCCTGTGCCTTCATAAGCAAGGGAGCCTCTCAGAGGCCCCTGTCTCTTGTTCTGCTTGGGTTGAGCTTGGTGCTCGCGGCCACCTGTGGCCCCCTGGCCCCCTGAGCTGAGGTGACAGCTGTCCTTCCCGGGAGGTGAGGTGAGATGACAGCTGCCCTTCCCGTGAGGTGAGGTGACAGCTGCCCTTCCCGTGAGGTGAGGTGACACCTGCCCTTCCCCTGTCACTTGAGGTGACAGCTGTCCTTCCCCTGTGAGGTGAGGTGAGGTGATAGTCTGTCTCTCAGGACAGCCAGGATGAATGGCAGGTGTCAGGTGTGAAGGAAAGTGATGAAGGCCTGGCTGAGAAGGGGTTTGTGAAGTGGTGGTTTTTGTGTGTTCCTTGCTGAGGAGGTCACGTGGTTTAGGCAGGAAGAGCTGGGGCCTCGGACGCCTGCCCCATTCCTCCACTCCTGGGAAACGCAGCCCTTGTCATGCACCTGCTGCCAAATTCCACCCATTTCAACACCTTTTAGGTCCTGTTGACAATTGTAGTTTAGACAAGCATTAAAGACAGTGTTCAGCTGCCTTTAGGATCTTCTGAAAAATCATGTCTTGAAATTATTGCTCCTCTAATGATGCTCCCCTGGGCCTAGTTGGGAGGATTGTTCATGCTTTTAAAGTGTAAAGAATTAAAGCTTTTTTAATCCCTAAACTTTTTCAGAGAGGTATTTAAGTAGGAATTCTGTAATTTGTTAGTCATTCAGTCTTGTTAACAGGTTAGTTGCCTGCTCTTAGGTTAGTCTCTGTTCCCTCAGGGAACGGTCACAGACCATGAGTTGGTCTGTGACTCTGGTCAGGCTGTACCAGGCATTTAGGGATTCATGGGTTTGCAGCAGTCCAAAGTTGTGAGGCTCTTCCTGAACAGGCTTCTGGTTTCTCAGCATCTCAGTCTTAGTTTGTCCTCCCATGTCTAACACAAAAGGAGTGAGGGGACTTCATTTCTGCAAGGCAGTGACACAGGGAGCCCCACGTGTCATCAAGGACTGAATATCCGGGAGACCAGCCTCCCTAGCCTTCCACTGCCCAAGCCCCATGGAAAAAAAACGCACGCCAGTGGTTCCCTGCAGACGACATGTACCGCACCACTTAAGAGTTTTTGTGAGCATTTTCTCATTAAAAAAAAAAAAATATATATATATATATATTTTTTTAAAATATTATATATATATATTTATTATAAACCTTATTGAGGTATTTAGTGCCTGCTATATATATATATATATATATTTTTTTTTTAAAATATTATATATATATATTTATTATAAACCTTATTGAGGTATTTAGTGCCTGCTGTGGTTTTCTTTTCCTTACCAGTATACAATTATGATGTGTTCTTGCCAGGCTGGAAAGTATGTTCAAGAATGTCTGATAAAGGAAGAGACTCGAGACTTTGAGATGTTTGGATGAGCGAGCGTGACATCTTGTTTGCTGGTTTGGTGTCATATGAAGAGAAGTGCTCTGTGGCGTTTGGTCGGAGGAGAGCAGTGTCTGTGGTGTGAATCCTCCCGTTCTTAAGGGGTTACACTCTTTTTATCCCCTCCCCCCATAATTGTGAAACAGGCTCATGCGAGGTTTGAAAGACTAAACTGGTGTTTTCGTGTGGAAAGAAAACGAATGAATGAAGCGGGTGTCACAGAGAGAGGCCGCTCACGTCTTCCCTGTCCTGTCTCTGCGCCTGTGGTGGGCTTTTGAGATTGCACTTTGTGGGTGGTCCTCGCAGGGCCCACCTTTGAGCAGGACTGCAGGTGGCCTCTCCCCTCCATCAGCGTGTGTCATCTTCTTCCTTTAGCAAGAAGCAGCTGTGTGCGTTTGTCACATTCGGATGTTTTCACCAAACTCGGTCTTTTGCTTCCAGGGATGCCCGCTGTCTGCAGCCCCGGCATGGTGCCCGTGGCCGTGCCCCCAGCAGCCGTGAGCGTGCAGCCCCGATGCAGCGAGGAGGACCTGAAGGCCATCCAGGACATGTTCCCCAACATGGACAGGGAGGTGATCCGTTCTGTGCTGGAAGCCCAGAGGGGGAACAAGGATGCCGCCATCAACTCTCTGCTGCAGATGGGCGAGGAGTCCTAGGCCTGCCTGCTGCCCCTTGCTGCCTCGGTGCCACCGGCTCTTTGGATTTGCTAACTCAGGGGTTCCCTGAGGACCGCTGCCCCAACAAGATTCCTGTGAAAGAACACCCCCTGTCACCCCTTTCCTCGGACATCTGTGTCGCCCCATCCACACCCTGTTCCTGGGAAGCATGCGGGTTTTCAGTCCCCAGCAGCCACGCTTGCCTGTTGTTCAGGGAGGGGTGGGGTGGTCCCTCCTTGTCCTGTGTTGGGAGATGATGGGTGTGGGGCCATGCCACTCTGCACAGACTGTGTTCCTGTTGCACAGGGACGTGGCCGTCCCCTTCTCATGTTGTTCTGGAAAATGCTCCTGTTGTAGAAAGCAGCCACCTCTGCCAGGTGTTAGAAACTGCTGTGTGTCCTTCTGATTTGATTGATGACGTCCAGTTATTTGACCTTATTGGGGTAGACCTGTTAAGTTTAGGTACACAGTCCATGCACACTGATTTGTGAGTTATTTTCAGAACTTTTGAGCTGAAGACTCGTGTCCTTCCCCTGACATTGTCTTTGTGAGCCTAGCCGACTCCCCAGCACTTCTGTCCTTGGTGAGCTGGGCCATTGGTCTTGTCCTGTCAACGGCCATAGGGCCGGCCTCTCGCCTGCTCACCTAGTCACTGTCTGGCCAGGCCTCAGGGACAGGTCTTGGTGTGAATGCAGAACGGGCCCCAGCCTGGCATGCAGGAGGAAACCTGACGTGGTTGGTAGGTCTCTGCCTTGTCTCCGGTCAGTGCGCGTTGGGAGCAGGGCCACCTTCACTTGTGGGCAGCTGCAGCCTGTCCCCTGCTGTTTCATTCCAACCCTGCGGATGTCCCCAGGGGACTCCCCTCTTCTTGATCAGCTCTTGCAGTGGGACCCAGAGCGAGGGTGATAGTAACAGATGTAGCACTGTGTGTGTGTCTGGTGAGGGGCGTTTAGGCTCTGCTGGCTTACTACTGATGATGATCTACANAGGTCTTGGTGTGAATGCAGAACGGGCCCCAGCCTGGCATGCAGGAGGAAACCTGACGTGGCTGGTAGGGCTCTGCCTTGTCCCCGGTCAGTGCACGTGGGGAGCAGGGCCACCTTTGCTTGTGGGCAGCTGCAGCTTGCCCCCTGCTGTTTCATTCCAACCCTGCGGATGTCCCCAGGGGACTCCCCTCTTCTTGATCAGCTCTTGCAGTGGGACCCAGAGCGAGGGTGATAGTAACAGATGTAGCACTGTGTGTGTGTCTGGTGAGGGGCGTTTAGGCTCTGCTGGCTTACTACTGATGATGATCTACATAAATGCTGTGCGCCAGTACTGTAGTTTCGATGTGGCTGATAGGGACAGAAATCTGGCAAATGTTAAAATTTAAAGCCTTTCATAGGTTGGAGGTGCCGTAGCCGACCACCCGGCTGCTGTGTGTAGTGCCTCGGATCGCAGACTTTTGGACCCATATTCTGGCTGCAGACACACAGGAGCCTTAGGGGCAGATTGGGTGACACCTAGTTGTGAAGATAAGAATCTTGAGGAGTTTCTCAAAAGTGATGCACTTTAAATGAGATTCACGCTACAGAAAAACTAGTGTGCTCTGCTGCGCGTTTGTGGCACTCGCGGCTCTGCAGTGAGCTCTGGTGGCTGCCGCTCCTTTCACGTGTTGGCACCGAGCCTTTGGATATACGATCCTAGTGGTATGGACATCAAGATAAATCCTAGCAATTTGGACTTCTGGGAAAGATTTAGAATGGGGTAGTTAGTACTTAAACTTCACTCTTTTTCACTCTCTGGAAATATAGGTTAAGTTTTAATGTCGGCTAGAAAATATTGCTTTCTGCCACCTGT